TTTTTTTCATTCAGTATTGGTGTTTTTGAGATTCATCCATGCTGTTGTGAGTATGAGTATTTTGTTCCTTTATTGTTGAGTAAGATTCCAGTATATAACACTTGGTTTACCCCTTTTTCTGTTGATGCACATTTGGTTTGCTTCCATTTTTTGACTATTATGTATAAAGCTTCTGTGAATGTATTTGCACAAGACTGAGTGCAGGTGTGTTTTCATTTCTCTCAAGTGTTGGGGGGCAGGCCCGAGATGGAGACAATGAGGTCAGAGTCACATGTTGGGAGCTCGAGGGTCTCTGGGACTCCCCATGGAGACCAGCGTCAAGCAGGCAGCTGGAGAGATGGGTGGTCTGGAGCTCAAGAGGAAGGTAGGGACTGGAGATGGACAGCGGGTCCATCAGCGGGTCCAATAGTGCTGATAATGTTTGCCGTCTGTTGTGGGTCCAATTGTGTCCCCCCCAAAATGATATATTGATGTTCACACGCTTGGTACCTGTGAGTGTGATTTTATTTTGAGATGGGTCTTTGCAGATGTAATCAAGTTAATATGAGGTCAGACTGGATTGGTGGACCCTAAATCCAGTGACTGTTGTCCTTATACAAAGGGGGAAATTTGGACACAGACAATTGTGAGGAAGAAGGTCATGTGACAACAGAGGCAGAGATTGGAGTTGTGATGCTCCAAAGCAAGGAAGGCCAAAGATTGTCAGCAACCACTGGAAGCAGGAAGAGGGAAGGCAGGATTTTACCCTAGAGCCTTGTGAGGGAATGTGTCCCTGCTGAAACCTTGATTGTGGTCTTTCAGCCTCCACCACTGTCACACAATACATTTCTGCTGTTTTAAGCCACCCAGTTTGTGGTAAGTAGTCACAGCAGCCCTAGGGAACTAACACATTTGCTCAATATCTACTGTGAACCAATTCCTCAAGTGTTCTGTCTCATTCAACCCTCACAGTGACACTGAGAGTGTCAACCCTGTCCCTGTGTTACAGAGGAGGCTTGGGTGAGCTGCTCAAAGCCACACAGGCCAACAAGTGGAGGGACCAGATTGAATCCAAGTAGACCACCCAGAATCCACAATTGAGTCTCAATCAGTGTTCCCTGGGTATTTGCCTGTGCCCAGGCACTGCCCTACCTGCTTTGTGAGCATTCGAACAGTCAATCTGTTCCTAAGAGAAGTGAGAACCCAGAGCTGCTAACCTGGCTGTCCACACGTCCATAGATTTGAAAAGGGTCTCTCTCTCTTCCTCCTTCCCTCCCTCACTCCTTTTCTGCCTCTTTTTTCCCTTCTTTTTTTCCCTTGTTTCTTCCTCCCTCCATCCCCAGCTTTGTCCTGGAGGAGGGAGAAACAGCATTGCCCTCTCTTCTTTATCAGTCTGTGCCCACCTCTGAGGTCCTGCCTCGACAATGTTTCCTCACTGCCCTCTACCAAGAGCTAGTCTATGCCTGATGTGTGATACTGGGTGAAGATATTTTTGTCTATTTTGTTCACCAAGAACAATACTTGATACATAATAAGCTCCCGATAAAAATTTTAACAATTAAAAAAAATGGTGTACTTGGAAAAGCTCTTTCCCCAGCCCAGGTCTTTGTTCTAACCCCAGCACTTTCCTAACTGTCCTCATGTTGTCTATAATAGCAGCTCAATGCTCTACATTCCATTACATGGTAAACCCATCAAGGCAAGGATTGTGTCTGTTCTAGTTTCCCCAGCAGTTCAGAAAATTTTATTCATAAGATACAGCCCAGAGAAACCTGTGAGTCAGGCTGATAGTCCAAAGGAGGCAAAGACAATCAAAGCGGAGAACCTAAATAAAGCATATCCTTTCTGACACACACACAAAACAACGAGAAAGAAATATAGAAGACTAATTAATTATCCAGAAAAACAAAATGGAACGACATAAAATCTTCCCTCCAATAGCATCAAAGTGAGACAGTAAACAAATGCCCAGAAAATAAGGAAGGAAGTATACAAAGATGGTCATCAAGTGTAGTTGGCTCTGGGAAGCGGGACCTGGTGTTGACTACGGTATAGACTGCACTGCGGGCACCAGGAAACCTCATGTGTGGGATGGAGTTTGACAAAGTAGATGTTCAATCAACAATCAAGGATGAGTGAAAGCCAACTGCTTTCTCCAAGATCTGGATCTACATATTTCGTTTAGGAGGTATAAATTATACCTGGCAAGGTCTTATGAGAAAACATTTAAAAAATTTCCTGTAATATAATAGTCAGTAAATAAGGATTATGAGTACTTCTCACTATTATAATAATTATTTTTTGAAACAGATGGCCCCTCCCCCAAGAGGTCCTGTCACTCCATTTCTCAACCTCTGTAAATAAGGCCCAATACTCTCCTGGAATCCTTCTCTCTTCAGGTCTCCATTGGTCTCTTCAATCTTAGGCCCAATTGTCTTTCATACAGCCTACCTGTTCTTAGTTCCCTTAGGCAATTAGGGACATTCAGACATGCACAAGTGTCTCTAAGGGTGAAGTAGGAAGCAGAGAGCACATAAGAGAACCCCAAGCCCCTGAAGAGAGGGTTCCAGTTCCCAAGTCCTTTTCTCTTATGCATGGCAATTATTCTCACCACTCCAGGTTATATGGCTACCTTTGGGTTTGAGACTTGGACCCCACGCTTGAGGGGTTAGACTCCTTCAGACTGGGTGATTTTTGAGCACAGAAACTGGCCCTAGTTAAGCACCACGGACAGCATCATTCCACTGTTGGGAGACCACCAGGTCTACAATCTCTCTTAGGAGAACAGACAGCCGCTTGTGTGCTGAGCCACCTTCATTGCATCCCACACCAATTAGTTCCAGACTAGGCTGGAAGGAGAAGAGAGTTCACTATGTCACAGCATATAAAGTATTTGGACGCACACCTCATTTTTAGGTCATCACCCCACAATCTTGGAAATTTGGCGTCAACCACTCTGGTGTATAATGTTTTCTGGAGTTCGTTTGATGATAGAAAACCATCGAACTCAATGTCTCCTATGAGTGTGGGGCCAGGACTCCTAGAACTCTGAATGCAATACGGACTCCAAGGAGGGTTCAGGGCTTGGGATACACACAGCCTGGTTTCTGGGGACCAGACTGAGGAGAAGGACAAGAGGGATTCCAGAACCCAGCTTAATTGTTGTTTCTGTGGCTGGAAAAGGAGGGGGGGACCAACACTCATTTCACCCTTCACCACTGAAAGGGGAACTACTACACTTCTGTCCCAGATACTCAATTCCCGTGGACACCAATGTCTTTCAAGAACATAGTACAGGTAAGATAGAATCCTTTTCTCTGGCACCAGTTGGGAGTGGGGTTTCTGCCACCCCAAAGCACAGCTGTATTCGCAAGTTCACATAATGTGAAGGATGAGGTCATACATGGGTTTTCGTCATTGCCCCACAGTCAGCTTCTGCCCATAAACCCTTCTGACCATAAAGAACTCAAGAGCTTCACTAATATTCCCTCACATATCACAAAATGAAGGCTTTCGGGCCAAGGGATGGGAGCATCAGAACCAAGTATTCAGAAGGCAGAGGACAGATAGGTCCTGGATCCCAGAGTTTCTCTGCGAAAGGGAGACTTCAAACACTCGTTCTTATGGAGTAAATGTGTCTCTAGTCAATGGATTATTAGTAATTTAATGGGAATTCTTCGACATAGGGAATAAATACAAGCTTTAGAACAGTAAAATCTTGGATTCAATCTTGGCTTCTCCACTTACTAAGGGGATGAATTGGAAATTTAGTCACTCTACTTCTGTGTTACTCAGTGTCCTGCTCTGCAAAGTGGGGAAATAATAAGCCCCATCTCACAAGAATGTTGTGATACACGTAAAGCACTTTATGCAGGTCCTGGTACAGGTGTGTGTCCATTGTGTGCTGGTTCCTTACTTCTTGAA